CTACAAAATGATGTTGCCACAGTAGGGTTTGCTAAAGTGCCTAGCGCACGAACACAGTTGCCCGTTATTAGACAGAAATCACAATGGAATAGGATTATTTTTTATAACTCCTCCCTTTAATGAACTTAAATAGAGCGAGAAAAGGTTTGAGCGGAATAGCATGGATCTCTTCTGTTTAGGGGTTTCTCGTCAACTGCTTACAGCCTAAAACAATCTTGATACCAAACTATGCACAATATTTGCATGTTTGAATCAATTTGATCGAAATTATCGGCTTGAAGAAAGTATAATAATGATATCACATAATTGAAGTCACACGAAGTAAATGAATAAGCTATATAAGGGCTATTGATAAGGTTGACTATACGTAGGAAGATCCAACGAACAGTTTAAAGCGGAAGTCGGACAAATGTATCATATATATATATATATATATATATATATATATATATATATATACAGAGAGAGAAAGAGAGGGGGTCAGAGGATGAGTAGGATTCAGATAACCGGGTCAAGGATGTGAAACTGAGCAACACTAAATAAAGGTTTATGAATCGATAACTAACGATACCATCAGTATCAATTACACATATTTTTTGTCGTGGTAGGAAAAGACTGATATCTGTTTCTTTCTGCATAAATAAGTTCTAATTCAATCGCGTAATCACTATCGCTTCAGCGAAAAACAACTAATTCAAGTTCACTTGCTTACTAACTAAAAGTGCTTGTCCACTATCATTTAGATGACGATCTATAGCGCTGTCGAAGACTTTCACATATTTCAGTCGTAAACTCTTTGGAGTGTTATGAGATATTCGGGGGGAAATCCTTCACTTTATTTGTCCAATATATTTAGTTTGGCGTGTACATGTGAATCGGTATATGCAATTAGAAATGACATTAAAAGTGAACTTTCAAACCTTAGATTGTGTCAGCCATCAATTTGTCTGGTAAATTGCGACTAACCTGGTAGCTGGATAAGTCTCCTTTAAGGCAATATTTATTCTACAATTAGTTCTGTAGAAAATTATCACCACATTTGAGGCTGAAATTTGGGAAGACAGGTTTCTTCTCGACTACATTACACTTCACATTTGCATACAGTATTTTCTCAAATTTATCCATGAATTTTTTTTTGTGTAATCGTTATCACGGTGGTAGTCTTCGACAGTAATCATTTCCTCTTTAGGTTTCCTTTTTCGAACAAAAATATATTGTGATGTTGAATACTGTTTTCATTAGCCTTTTTCTTATAACTTTCCCGACAGAAGCTGTTCAAATTAAGATACATTTCTCTGTATTAGTTTTTACGATGGATAAATCTTTGTATATTGCCGTTTGCAGTTTGTTGAATTTTGAGATCGAGGAAATGAAACTTCGCATTGTGTTCATATTCCATTGTAAATTTCATGTTTTGATGTACTTTGTTGAGTAGACTAAACAAGAGGCACGTTTCAAGCTTCTGAAAACAAAGAGTGTATCATCAGCATACCTACTGTAGAATGTTGTGTTCTTCGTGGCTTATTTCATACTCGCACGTTCAAGCTTACCCGTAACCATATTAGCTAATATGGGACCCCATCGGACTGTCCATTTCGTCTCCATCGACTTGACGATACAATGCGTTGCTGAATTTAAATTTCATATTCCCAGCGTACAAGAGTAAAAGTTATCTAACGTCTTCTTTAGGTATCGGGAGGAGAATAGGATTATTTACTGAGAAATACAGATATCTTTGCATTCTTAATGTATTCTTATATCTGTTATCTACCTGTAGTTTATAGCTGTAATCGGGTTGAGAGAAACCAAATAAAACCTAAACCAAAACTTTGCACCAGCTTATAAAGTCTCTGGCTGTCAGTCTAAACCGTATAGACTATCTGAATAGAATCCTCGAGATTATACTAATCAGTAATTGTAGACTCTTGGTGATATGGCTTATCATCGACCGCAGTGCCGCAACCTTTATCACTTTCGAAGTGTACAACCTTTTATCAAGCTTTATTTGTTTGCTTTCTCTTCTGTCTACTACGTGTTCTACTGCGAAATACGCCAACGTGAATTGATGTGTTTGTTTGCAACTTTATGCTTTGTTTTTTAACTATCTATCGTTTCTGAAGTTTGTGCTGATGATGTCGTCTAGAATGACAATGAAAGCTTCAGGATTAAACTATCCAGCCCAGAGAACACATCATCAACACTATCTATGCGTTTGTTGTCTGCCTACTTTCCTTAATTCTGTTAATCCATCACAAGCTAGTATTACATTATTTACCTTTGTCAGTTCTAATCATTATTTTATGATAGGTGACAGGAGATATGTGTACAGTGACAATACTCATGTTTATGTGTTATGATTTCCTTTCTCTGTTTTCGTGCCTAGTTTTTCATGGTAATTGGCTGTGGTTACAATGTAATATTTCTTCGCTATGTGGCAGTTAATTTATTCGCATGTGGTATGTCTGTCTGTTTTGTTTTCTTCCTCTCCTATTCCTTACCTTCCTGCTTTCTCTAAATATGAATGATACTTAACCGTTTCTCCTTTTCCCTCAGGTTTATCTTCTTTTTCTCATAGATTTTATTTTCCTTCTGCTCTTGAGTCTTCAGAAATAGGGATCTCGTCCTTCAGTTAGTCGATGGACATCAGTAATTTTTTGGCAAAGTAAGGTGAATCAATATTCCAGCAATTCCTGTACTCTGCGGACTGTTCCTTTCTTTCTTTTTTTTCTTTCTCTGTCTCTGCTCTCTGAATTGTTGTAGTCGGTAGACTGGTCAATTTTAGTAATTTAAGATGACCCTTGCCACTGAGAGTAGTTTTACTAAGAGATATTAGTGAGCATTTGAAAATTACTTGTTATCATATATTAATTTGAAAAGATGTAGTACCCCTGTTAAAATCAGTGTCTGACTACTGTTTATTGAGACTTGTAATTTCCCGTTGCTATACTGGGTCAAATTTTTTGACCTCTGTTGGCAGATAGGCTCCTATGCGGGTGCCTTGCGACTGCTTGAATATTCATTATATTGTAGTCTATCTGGTGGCTAGCAGTGAAATCCAGGGCGTGCGTGTCGTCCTGTTGAGATTCGTCAGCTGAATGCACTTGCACCCCAGCGAGTAATGCTGTTCCTGCTGGGACTCAAACCTAGTAATCATCGCTTCAAACACCAAAGCGTTGCCCACTAGACCACTGGGGTACGAGACCCACTGGTTGTGCAACAGATATCAATTGTTTATTATTATTATTGTCGAGTCCTAGGTAGGACGAAATTCATGTTCTTGATTCCTCTGCTAGCCACCAAACAGACCACAATTTCCGATTAATTAACAAGTCAACAAGTGCTCTATCCTAGCTGGAGGCTCTTCTGCATTGTCTGTGCTTAACTTTATGATATAGTCAGAATCTATCGTTTTAAAGTCGTACATTTTTGTTTCACTAATTTAGGCGTTCGACTACTACCTTTCAGGTCACTTTGTTTGAACCATTTCATCTTATTTGATCTGGGCAACCACCTATTGTTAATAGCTGCACCGTACACCTTTACTTGTGGTTAATAACTGATTGCACGGAAATGTACTAAAATTACTGAGTTTCCCTAATAATACTAAATTATCACATCCAGCTGACGAGGCCCAACTAAGACGAAACGCCCGTCAAAGATTTCTCTGCTAGTTACAACCAAGTAAATCATTCAATTCAGACAATATCGGAGCATCCACACATGAGCCTGTATGCCTACAGAGGTCGAACAATTCTATCCAGTATCGCAACCGTGAATTACTAGTGTATCAACAAATAGTATTATTATTCAGTTTTGTTGCACTAAGAAAGGTTGTAGTGAAAGTTTCATAAAGTCTTAGATAAACGGAGTCAGCAGTAAAACTATGTATTGTATTTATCATTGATGGTTGAATTGCACTACATCATGATCCGATGGAATTTTTATTCCATAAAATACCAAATAGTACATTCTTTTTCTCAAGTTCAGCAGTGAGAAAGTGTTCACAACGTGTCAGGATTTTAATCCTGAAATAAATCAGTAGTATTAGGCAGTGCTACTGAGTTTGCAGTAAAAGATAGAACAACTGTTTACTCTTCCATTTCCACAGACTTTTCACAGTACGCTAATTGTGAAAAGTGTTTTTGTATTTTCTATATTTATTTAAATAGTTGACGACTTTATCCAACGTTTATTTAATTTAAAACTACTTTGAACCCTCTGGAACATTTTTAATGATAAAATTGTCCTCAAAGGATTTAGAAAATTAGACGAATAAGACTTAAGTCAGTAATGGGCAGTTAGGACTTGATGGCTACATCAATTATCATTTGATGACTGATTTGTATACACAATCCAGTCCTTCAGAGATGTGATGCCGGTGTGAATTTCAGTCAGTTGATATCAACATGCGACTTGCCAATACTGCGTAGCGGTCCTAGCTGCCACACTTCATATCAACATAGCAAGATATATGATAAGGAAATAAGTGAAAAAAGTGTCATCAGATTTGTAGAAAGTCATGAGGTATAGTGGTGGTGGTGAGGTAGTGAAATAATAACGAAATGCGATATAGTGACCAAGATGAAGATAATGTTCATACGCATCTACGCGACTTTAAAATTACAAGTGGTTTGAAGTTGGAAGTGTTATGCAAACTACTCTAATAGGTTAAGCAACTCGTTCTAGAGTATAAACGTTTCGGCTTATACTTCTTAATTGAGAGACTGGGGAAACGGTGTCTATGGCTAAAGAAATAGAATATCGGAAGAAGCCTATCGTTTCCCCTTTTACCTTTGTCGGTTATTCGATGGCGATTCATGACCGAAGGATGATCTTAAAATGCGTCAAAAACCACTTATGTATTACCTGGTTTCCTTACTTTCTATATTCATCACCCAAACTATTATTTTATTATTGTCGATGTCATTGCAATCATTGTAACTGCAGCCTGTTCTCCTCACGTTTTTCTTTATCTCTGTGTCTATTCACCTGTAAAAAAGATGAAAAGTATGAAAAGTTATTATTGGCTGTAATGAATCCGAATAAATTTCGTGCTTGTGAATATCTCATCCGATATCATGAACGCAGAAATGATAAGATTATTGTATTCGCTGACAATGTCTTCGCTTTGAAATACTATGCTACGAAAATGGGACGACCATTTTTATACGGTCCAACTGGTCAAGCTGAACGTATGCAAATATTACAAAATTTTCAACATAATCCAAATGTAAGTTATCACTGATTTTTTGTTTCTCCATTTCTTTATCTTCCCATAATAAATAATCACCCAGTTCTGGATACCATTGGTTATTTTCATTGAATTTATGTTACACTCTATAAGCGTGTTCCCTGCCTCTCTCACTTGATATATATATATATATATATATATATATATATATATATATATATATATATATATATATATATATATATATATAATCCAATTTACTCGACATACATCAATCTTCCAATTCGTCTTTGACTAATTCAGTAATCAGCTTAAATAATTAAGGTTGCTTTATGTCAAATGAATCCGTACCACACTTCATTCATTCTTATTTATTGGGTTGATTGAAGGCTTTACAAAGGTACATAAATTTATGCATATTGTACTGTGATATGATGTTTATTATGCTATGCATATTGTATTTTTGGTTGAGGATTGTTATTCGCGATAAAATGTCCTTATTTGACTGTTCTCAGTTAAACCTAGTTTGAGTTGATCAACGGGTATTTGAGCCATGCCTGACCTTGACTGAAAACATCAACCAATGAGACTAGAAGCAAAGTGGATGTCTGTGACCCTTATTAATCGATTGACTAATCAAAGCTCACGTTTACGAAGCATTCGGTCACAATAGCATAGGTGTGCTGGTGCTTGTTGATCAGTTTTCTCTTCTTACGGGGCTTACGAAAAGCTCTCGGTTCAGTTATGCACTGAATTCACTTCATTGATCAACTGCGAACAACTTTCACCTGTTTATCATGAAATATAGCTGACTTCTGTGTTAGATTAGAAAGGTGGTAATGACAAAGGATTTATTTGCTCCAATTTATGAAGATTTTTCCTCCGAATTAACGATAAACAGTAGTTACCGCCTCGAACGTCGATTGTCATCATTCCTGCTCAACGTTTTTAAAAAGTGTACTAATGCATATGACCCTCGGTACCTCCTACTTCTCATTGTTTAACTTACTTCCAGAACGGCACTTGGGTGATTTGGAATAGGCAGACGGTATTGTCATACCAAACAAAGACACTGACAAAATGCCCGGCAGTCTAATCACTGAGCATGAATGTAAGTACGTTTAGCTGTAAGATGAAACTCCAGGACTGGTCTGCAGCTACTTCCAGTTTAAGGATTGGGAGTGAAGTGGTTGAATGTGTTGGCCACTTCACTTTGAGAGTTGTACTAGCCCGAACGGACTGACTGTTGACGAAATCTCAACTCGGATACAAAAGTTTCGTTCAGCGTTTACTAACTTTCATTATTTCTGGCGCCGGCGAAGTGTCCGACTACAAATCAAAGGAAAAGCATACTGTTTAACAGTTTGCTCTGTCCTATTATCTAGCTGAGACATCCGTTGAGAGTAGAGGATATCAAGAAATTTGACCCTAGATATTCTCGCAGCATTTTTTACGTATGGTGTAGTCACTGTGTGAGCTATGTCGAGGTTAGGTGAAGGGTATGAGACGAGAAAGGCATATCGACTGAGATGGGTTGGATATATTTTGCATGCTGAGTCACCTCCCACCTCTATGTGTGGTTTTAGGCGGGGTAAAACTGGGTTAGAAGAAGGTTCAGGGAGCTCAGACCAAAATTTGTCAGTGATCCACTAAGTCTTTAAATGTTGACCTCGCCCATGTAGCTAACATAGCTTGAATTCTTTAGATGATGGGTGTAAATGGTTGGAGATTCTTGGTGATATGAGAAAAAATCGATTGGAATGCACAGATATATCCACTCTTTGTCATCTTCATAGTCGTGATTTCTTCTCTCTTATACATTTTTATTCATCCCAATACAACATTTTTTTTTCATTCCTTCGTTGCATGCTGCTGTAAATCATGACAGCTGGAACTGTTGCACTTCTATGTTAAGTTTTACTCTGATTTGCCTCTGTGTATCTGAATTACTATGTGGTGATGATCCAAAATATTACACATCACATCAAAGATTCAAATATTTAAAACACCCTTTTGTGTTGTATATTTTCTTTAACCGCTAATTTGTAATATGCATATTTTGTCGTGCCACAAGTAACCTGTTAATGCCACTGATAATGAAAAGCGATAAATATTTGTTTGTCAACTCATCAACTTCCTAATATTTTCTTTCTTGAAAAAAAAACACAATCAGGTCCCAGCAATATTCGTCTCTAAAGTTGCTGATAATTCTTTTGACCTGCCTGAAGCAACAGTACTTATTCAAATCAGTGCACACGGAGGAAGTCGTCGTCAAGAAGCTCAACGCTTGGGTCGTATCTTGAGAGCAAAACGAGGCATGGACGCTGAAGCCTACAATGCATTCTTTTACTCTTTAGTGTCTCAAGACACCATGGAAATGCAATATGCTTTAAACGTCAACGTTTCTTAGTGAATCAAGGATATGCTTATAAAGTGAGTTGTAGTCTTCTACGAAATGTTAATTAATTGTAAACTTTTATGAGACTGAATTGGCGTTTAGTTTTTCTTTTTTATCACTGGTTACTAGTGTCGAGCTTTGATTGTCTGTCGAAGGAAAACTGTTTACATTGAGTTTTGTTAAAATATGAAAACGTTACATTAGGCATAACTCATGTAAATAGTCTATTCATTAGAGATGAGTTAGTCTTTAGTTTCTGCTGTTTCTCCTACATT